CTAGTGCCAAGCCAAATATAGTATTCCAATCTAAAGTATTGATTTCACCATTGGAGCATAGTTATTACCATAGGAGGGCTTTAAGAGGGAAATATGAAATTACTTCTGTTTTTAAATCCTTGATAAAGGAGGGAGTAATTGTTGCATGTTCGGACACCCAAGGTTCCACACACTGCTAAAGAGGTTAACGTTGTTTTTTAAGTAGACCAGAATTGAAGATACATGAGTATAATGAGCTATGAAATACATAGCAGAGCTACACAGATCCTAGTAATGGTTTGACTCAAGATAATAGTTATGTACACAAGTTTCTGAAATAGATTTATTGGACATTTTAATACTAATCAGGTGTAAATGAATTGCAGTAGTAGTAATATTATAAGGAAGTGAGTTTTGTACCAAGTGTCAGGAAATATGGGAAGCAGAAGTCCCAATGAAAAGTTAATACCATCTTGAAAATCATAGTTGAAATTGTGAATGAATAAGGAATGGCGCTCCGCATATGACATATTTTTGTAGATAGAGGGTACCCGCCTATGCTGAAATACCTCTGAAAAGACTCTGCAGAGCACGACATGGCCAAAAGACCGAGACCAAATGACCTTTGACCCTGACTGACAGTGTGACAAAAGCACTGTCAATGACTGACTCTGGGGTGTACCTGACCAAACCTGACTTGACAACCAGACGGTATGAGTGTGAATGAATGCCGGCATGTGATCAGTGTAACTGCATGATTCTAAAACAATAACTAACCAAGCATGGTTTTGGACTAACATATTATTTTGGAGCTCCAAGGGAAACGAGAGGTTTCCTAAAAATTCCACAAAAAGGGGAAACCGCACATGTGACCCGTTTCTAATCTACTTGATGATATTTTACTCCACAGGAGTTGGCGGTTTGCAAATGTAAAACTCAAACTATAATCTGAAGATTCTGTTTCTTTTAGGACTGAAAGATGGAGAGAAACACTTATTTTCACTGAAGTGTGTACTGTGGAAATAATAATAATGGATGTAAAATTGTAAATAATGTTCGCTATGTCCCTAACCAATATTTACCTGAAAGTTTTTTTTTCCCCCTCCCCATTACAGGATTTTGTTACACATGAGTTCATGTGTAAAAAGGGGGGAGTGTGTATAAATGTATAATGTATAACGTCAACATAAAATTCACAATTTAAATTTTTCTTTTAGGGATTGAAAGAAACCTTCCGCCCCAACCCAGATGTTCAAACTGAGCATTGAATGATAGTTTTAGAATTAACCTGCTCCATATCTGGGGATAAGATACTGTTTGATGAATGTTGACATGTTTCTAAATATTGATTGCATTTTGAACAGGTAACACAGATGCAGAAGCAGTGGCCAAGGGGCTACTGTGAGAGATGTAATTCCAGAATAGAATACCGAAGAAGTTGACCTGTGATAATGAAACAATTTTGTAATATTTTAACAGATATTAGAGTAACTGAGGTTTGAAATATAGAAAGAACATATTACAGTTAAGTTAAGCTAAAACATAGTAATGTAATGACACATAATTTAATTTAGACAACATCTTGTAACTAGCCTGGTAAATAGATGTAAAAGCCATGGACTTTATTGTTTAGGTTATTATGGGGATATACATTTAATTTAAATTCATAATAGAAAGACATTTGATGACAGTATGTTGGAATTCTGCATTCATTTTTCAGCTTGATGATAGACAGGTAGAAGCAGTATTGCCAGGTGCAACTGATGGGATTTCTGCACACGATCCAAGCAGAGAATGACGTACCTCTTTATAGGACAGATACACTCAGGAAACCACACTCTGACAGCATCATGACTTCAGTTGTTTTTGAATCCATAATGAAATTGTATTACATAACGTTAGTGTGTGTCTTTACCACAAACAGGAATAGTTCATTGTTATATTTAGATTTGAGAAAGATTACAAGGATTTTATTTAGGAATAACACAGATGCTCATCAGACATTTCCGAGCTATTGAAATATGTTATTTAGTTCACCATGAAGATGTTTTATTTTGTTTGTAACATATGCCAAGTAGTAAGATTCAGATATCAGCAGGTTCTGAATTATTATTCCTCTGTCCCACAACCAACAAGAATGTGGATGGGGAGAACTATATCTGCTGTAACCAGCAGAGATTCATAAATTACACCAGAGACACAGTAACAAGATGACACAAACAGTTAGATAAAAACAGACCGATAGAATGGCGCTAGAATTTAGTTGAAAAAGGGGGTGTATGCAAAAAACTGAAGAGAATAAGATTGTTTAAATAAAGAGTAATATTTAGCTATTTTCAGATAGTTTAATCCTTATATTTTGTAAAAGAACAAGTGCCTTAACACTGAATGTGGTATCAGAACGGTTTCTGTGAAAGGAGGGAGAAAGAAATGTTCTAATACCAAGCTAATTGCTGCTATTTTGAAAGGTGATATTGAATGTTAAAACTAGAAGTTTAAGCACAAGGGAAAACTGTTATGTTGAAGACCAACCGAAGTATTTTTTGTATTTTTGATGACGGTTATTTGAACCATTCCATTTTGATAGTATGTTTTTGATATGAGTTATGTACTATGCAAAGTTCAGATGAAGAACTCATTGATTTCAGTATTGTGTTCACACCTTAAAAGGTGTGAAAGGAGGGATTGTTAGACATTAAAATCAATGTTTTATGGCATAATTTAGTCTAAAACATACCGTCAGTTTAAAAGCAGTCTTATGAAGAACTCATTGATTTCAGTATTGTGTTCACACCTTAAAAGGTGTGAAAGGAGGGATTGTTAGAAATTAAAATCAATGTTTTATGGCATAATTTAGTTTAAACATTCCGTCAGCTTAAAAGCATTTTATTCTGAAAATCCTTCATTTCCGGTTAGCATTAGCATGTGGCTAACGTTTTGAAACCGTGAATTGAAGGTGAAATGACATGTGATGTTGTACACTAAACACACTGGGATTAGCACTCATGTATTGACGCTGAATAACATTTATCAGGGAATGTTTAAATAACCACAGACACCAGAAGGATGTGATTTAGCAACAAAAAAGGCAGGAATTGCATTGGACCCGCCACCCCCACCCGACGACGCTGGCCAATAGGAGAAGACCTCAGATGACAACAGGAAGACCAAGGGTCCTTCTCAGGTCGATTAAATGGAATCCTTGGTTGCGTTCGAATACTCCAAAAAAACAGCTCCTAAGTTCTAACCCTATCGTCTATTCCTTGACCTCGGAGTGAAACGTCATGGGGTTAAGGAATAGTGGATAGGAGAATTCAAAAGGATTTAGGAGAAGAGACTGCGGCACTTTAGAGAATCCGACTGCACTTTCACTATCCGACGTGTTTATGATGCGCCAGCAGAGGTCATAAATGTGCGCCTGCTGCTGTGGGGAAACTATGGAAACTACAGTTTTCTATACAGCGGACTACAACATGGATGTTTAATAAGAACGAGGGACTACTGTAAACTCATCTAGAGACTCTGCACCGTGCTCTGATGCTGTTGTTTTATGCTTTATGAACGGGGACAACAGAGAAACATATTCTTCATGACCAAAGTTGAAATTGAAATAAAAAAGGAAAGTGAAACTTATGCTCGTCATCCTCTCCCTCCGGTCCACATTAATACAAATGATCCCAATACATATGATTGTATGAAAAGATCTTAAAATCAATACAAATGTATTTATTATAAACGTTAGTCCTTAACATCTATCACTGTGTATATCACCATTCAAACATCTTTTAAAAGTTGAACAAACCCCACACAGCTCAGTAAAGACTGTGAAATGTTGACTTTATTTGATCATTTCAGTAAAAACTAACGTTCATATTTCTCTTTTTGATTATAATACTGATGAACGTTCAAAACAAAGCACTTTGGCAACTTACCACATACGTTTTAAAATGCTTAATAAGCACCGTAACTTTCATAATATCATTTCTCGTTCATAATCGGTTGTTTCCGTGAACGGCCGACTGTTGTGTGACGGCAAATGCTGCGGCTGCAAGGCATTGTGGGGCAGCATTTTCTCCTCTCCTTTCGGTTAGGGAGGTCCAGTGGTTCCTAGGCTAAAGGAGGTTATAAAGGAAGTTTGAAACCTCCTTTCCTTTTAATTTAGAGAATTCGTCATTTCACTCCGTTAGGAAGGTTCCTAAGCTAAATGGACTATTCGAATGCAACCCTTGCGTCCCTCACTTGCGTCGTTTCCCTGCGTTTAGTCCCTCCCACCAGGGAAGCATGGAGAGGCGCAAAACCACGAGAAGCAGGGAAATGAGTTTTAAGAGCAATGGGACGTCCTTTCATCCGGAGCGTCACGTGAAGCGTGATGACGCCGCACAGCTGTTCGTCTGACAGCAGCTCTGTCCCCGTTATTTTCACAAACACCCCCGCCTCTGTTAGTACACATTTACTGACACAAACATTTGTATCATCTGTTGTAGACCCAAATACATTAAATAAAATAAGAACTCATTCTCAAAAAAGATAAACGCCATTCTTAAAATGTATAAACGAACAATAGTTGGATTAATATTGATTAGAGTGCACAATAGAAATAAAATAATTCAGAGAAGAAAAAGAGATATGTTATCTATCAAAACCCAGTTAGATTAACATTCATTGCATGGATTGCACACTTTGTTTGTGTGGATATGTAGCAAATTAACATGTTAAATAGCACTTAATGACTGACTGATGCCCCTTTCACACCGGCGCTTTTCCAGCTCCTGCTGGGAGCTAGAGCCTGAAAAGCGCCGGTTTTTCCTGTTCACACCGCAGCGGCGGCGCGTCATAGCTCCGGAATGCGGTTCACTTCCAGCTCCAAAAAGTTGTCGGTCCAGAGGCAAGAGCTTTGGAGCTATGACGCGGCGTCGCTTACGTCTCTCTTACGTCCGTCGAGGCGGAGGCGGGGGCATGGGCGGGGTCAACCTCCTGAACAACAACAAAATGCCTGCGTTTTCTCCAGTTTGTACACAATGATGGAAGACCTCAAAACAACGAATAAGCAGCAGTGGTCCACTGAAGAGACCAGCTACCTAGTGGCAATCTGGTCTTCCGAAGAGGTACAATGGAAGCTGGAGGGGAGCACGCGGGCCAAAGCGATTCTGCAGCAATTGAAGCGAGAGATGGCGTCTGCTGGTTATGACCGTTGCATTGTACAAATTAGCAACAAATTAAAAAAACTGAAGAAGGATTATCGGGACCAAAAGAAAGAGCTCGGACGGAGTGGCAGCGGTCGTACGAAAACAAGTCCACATTTTGACTTGCTAAACTCGGTCCTCGGAGACAGACCGACGAGTGGTGTGGGATGCACCGTGAATTCGCTTTGTCTCTCGTCAATTGGGTTGGAGGACGAGTCATTTAATGCTGGTGAGTTATGCATTACTGATTTGTGTTATATTGTGTTTGTAGCTATAGACAGACCTGGCAATAATAGCTAAAGTGTACCTACTACAGCTACCGGGTGGGCACCCCTGCGCTAGCATGCTAATGCTAATGCTAACAATAATAACAAAGGTATCCCCATGGCAAAGACAGCGAACGCCTCCAATGTATCTTCTTTCTTCTCACTAACGATGTATGATTTGTTGAAGGGCTACTTTTGTTCATTGTTTTATATTGTGTTTACAGGCATATCTCGTTTGGAGTGCAGTGAGTCGGAACCACCACCACCGTCGGCGACTAGCTCGCCCGTGCACATGCTTGGGTCTCTTGCCACAACAAGCAGCTCTTCCCAGGAATCTCTGGTGACCCTAACCCAGCCAGTGGGCCGTAACAAACAGGGTAAGGTTTACAGTGTTCATAATGGTAATACTGTTCCCTGTTGCCATTTATCATGGCATTGTCATAGTAGTAGTTGTTGAAGTTATGCAACTGCAGCCATAATAACAATAAAACATTTCATTACACAGTATATAATTTACACCTCATAGAATGCCATGAACACGGTGTTGACCTCATTATTATTTTCCCCTTTGTAGTTAAAAGGAAGCGGGATTCGTCATCTGGCCTTGTCCCGTTAATGGAGAGGAGTGAAGCCAGGGACGAAGAGCTACTGGAGCATAGCCGGGCGATGCTTCAGGAGGTGCAGAACGGCAATGCTGAGTTCATACGGATCTTCAACGTCTCAGAGCAGAGCAGAATCGAGCAGAGCCGGATCGACAGACTCGCCAGAATCGCAAAGGCCGAGCATGACGGCCACATGCTTGGCTTGTTAGACAGGATGGTGAAGGTGATGGAGGCCAACAGCAAACAATGACATTATTTTTGTATCTCCATTGTTCATGCCCCTTTTGTGTACATAATTTTTAAATACACTTAGTTATATAATATATACAGTATGTTCTCCACACATTTTTGTGAATACTTGTATACATTCTTTTTGAAATACAGTTAGTTATAGTATATACAGTATGTTCTCCACACTTTTTTGTGAATACTTGTATACATTCTTTTTGAAATACACTTAGTTATAGTATATACAGTATGTATGTGTATTTATGTATTTACAGTATGTAAAATAAACATAACTCAAAAGTCATGTCTTATTACATTTTATTTTTTCAGTGATCCACTGCAAACTAGCTAATGTCACTATGATAAAACACTGAACTAAAACAGTGGTAGATGACAAGTATGACTACTTGTATGCTAAGTCTGATTCTGCCATGCATTCTTTAAACAAAATGATGCTAAATGGAATCGTTACCTGTGTTATCTAAAATAAATGTGTCATTGTCAAGCTGGAGCAAGGCACACCATTTATTTTATTCCTATTTCTCTTTAGAAAGAAGTTAGGATATAAAATACTGACAAATCTAAGTGAAGGAAACAAACTCAAATGTACTGTGCCCTTACCCCACAAATGGAATGACATAAAGCTGAGGTTAGCACTAAATTGATCATAACACATCCAAAGAGAGAGCGACCAATCCCTGATGAATGTTGAGCACAGCAGCTCAGGTGACTGCACACACTCACACACATTTTATGTCACAAACGAGCTGAGGACCAAAATGCAAAACACGGGGAAACCAGGGATAGTCTGTAACCAGCTTTATTGAAGGCAATAACTGGTAGGAGACGAAAAGGCAGGTAGTAGGCAAAGGGCTGGTCGGGGACAGGCGAGGGTTCCAGGAGAAGGCAAGACGGGAGTCGCAGGTACAGACCGGGTCAGGGAGCAGGCGTGGCAGAATAGTCCGGGTACAGGCAGGGTCAGGAATCAGGCGAGGCAGGCAGGTCAGGGACAGGCAGGGTCGGAACCGGGAGAGCAATCTGGGAAGTAATGCTGGAAAGACTGGCATGCTGCAAAGTACGATCTGGCACTGAGGTGAGAGTGAAGTGGGCCTATATACTACTGGAGCTGATGGGTGTAACAGAGTGAAAGAGAGACAGGGTGTGGCTACCAGGTGACTAAGGAATGTTAATGCAGAAAATAGGTGAGTGAGAAAGCAGACTGTGACAGAACCCCCCCCTTAATGGACGGCTCCCGACGTCCAAGACAAACCTACGGGGAAAAAACAAATAAATAAAAAATCAACAAAAAACCTACAGACACCGGGTGGAAGGTGGGGGTATGGGAAAGGTTAATACTCATCTGAGAATGCTCTCTCGGCCTCCCCCTCCTGGAAATCCTCGTCCTCCTCGACTGAAGACGCCTCCCCCTCCTCCTCGATGAAGCCCCCGGTCCGTAGCCGACGAGTACCCCCCGGCTTAACGCCTGGCTGAGCGTGGGTCCTAGAAGGCTGCTCCGGGTAGCGCAGGTGGAAGTCCCGGATGAGTTGAGGGTTGAGGATGTGACGAGCAGGAATCCACTGCCTCTCCTCAGGACCATAGCCCTCCCAGTCCACCAAATACTGAACCCCTCTTCCTCTGCGTCGGGAACGAAGTATACGACGAAGGGTATAGGTCGGACCCCCATCGATCATCCTAGGGGGTGGTGGTGGGGGAGCGGCGGGAATCATAGGACTCTCCCGGACAGGTTTAATCCTAGACACGTGGAAGGTGGGATGGATCTTCATGTTCCGGGGCAAACTCAGTCGAACTGCTGCAGGGTTAATGACCTTGACGATCTCAAAGGGTCCAATAAATCTGGGCGCTAACTTTTTAGACTCCACCCGAAGGGGAATGTTTTGAGTGGAAAGCCACACCCTCTGGCCTAGCTGGTACACAGGTGCCTTGGTGCGTCGGCGGTTCGCTGATGTGGCGTACCGGTTAGCAGACTGAAGCAGAGTAGTTCGAGCCCGCCTCCAAGTCCTCCGACAACGTCTGATGAAGGCCTGGACAGACGGACAGGTAACCTCTTTCTCCAATGCAGAGAACAAAGGGGGTTGAAACCCGTATGCACACTGAAAAGGGGAAAGACCAGTAGCGGAACTGATGAGTGTGTTGTGGGCATACTCCACCCACAGGAGTTGTTTAGACCAGGTCGTAGGATGATCGGAAGCCATGCAGCGGAGAGTGGTCTCCATCTCCTGATTCTTCCTTTCAGTCTGACCATTGGCCTGTGGATGGAAACCGGAGGTGAGACTGACCGTCGCCCCGATCAGTTCACAAAACTCCCTCCAAAACACAGAGGTGAACTGGGGCCCCCGGTCGGAAACCACATCAGTCGCCAGTCCGTGAAGGCGAAAAACGTGGAGAAGCATAAGTTCAGCCGTCTCCTTAGCTGACGGGATCTTAGGCAGGGGTACGAAGTGAGCCATTTTACTGAACCGATCCACCACCGTCAAGATGGCAGTATGTCCGTGGGACGGTGGAAGACCAGTCACAAAGTCCAACGAAATATGTGACCATGGGCGACGTGGAACCGGTAATGGATGAAGGAGGCCAGCTGGCGCTTGGTGAGAGGGTTTGTGCCGATTGCACACAGGACAGGCGTTCACAAACTCCCGGGTGTCAGCCTCCAGCGTAGCCCACCAGAACCGCTGCAAGACCATCCCTCTGGTACGTTGAATCCCAGGGTGGCAGGAAAGTCTGGAGCTGTGAGCCCACTGAAGCACCTCAGCCCTCAAAACCTGAGGCACAAACAAACGGTTAAGAGGACAAGAACTAGGACCGGGTTGGTCCACCAACGCAGTCTTAACCCTCTCCTCAATCTCCCAAGCGAGAACACCGATCACTCGAGGAGCAGGAAGAATAGTGTCCGGGATACCGCAGGTGTCTCCCTCCCTCCCGAACTGCCGGGACAAAGCGTCGGCCTTCACGTTGCGGGAGCCCGGGCGGTAGGAGAGGAAAAAATTAAACCGGGTGAAAAATAACGACCACCTGGCTTGCCGGGAATTCAGTCTTTGTGCCGACCTGATGTATTCCAGGTTCTTATGGTCGGTCCAAACCTGAAATGGCAGTTCTGTCCCCTCAAGCCAGTGTCGCCACTCCTCCAACGCCAACTTGACTGCTAGAAGCTCCCGGTTCCCCACGTCGTAGTTTCTCTCCGCCGGACTCAATCTCCTCGAAAAGAAAGCACAGGGGTGGAGCTTCTGATTCTCACCAGAGCGTTGTGACAGGATGGCCCCCACCCCTACGTCAGAAGCATCCACCTCCACCACCAACTGACCAGCAGGGTCTGGTACCTGTAGGATAGGAGCCGACGTAAACCGGCGCTTGAGGTCCTGAAAAGCCTCCTCTGCTGCATGGGACCATCTAAACGTTACCTTAGACGAGGTCAGGGCGGTGAGCGGGGCGGCCACGGTACTGTAGCCACGGATGAACCGTCTGTAAAAGTTAGCGAATCCTAGGAAACGCTGCAGCTCCTTCCGGGAATCAGGAACCCGCCACGAGGTAACCGCTGAAACTTTGGAGGGATCCATCTCCACACTTCCTTGACCCACGATGTAGCCAAGAAAGGCGACCGAAGAAGTGTGAAACTCGCACTTCTCCGTCTTGACAAACAGCGAGTTCTCCAGAAGTCTCTGGAGGACTGTCTGGACGTGATGGATGTGTTCCTTGAGGGTCTTTGAAAAAATCAAAATGTCGTCCAAATAAACAAAAACATAACGATCCAACATGTCCCGGAGTACGTCGTTCACCAACGCTTGGAAAACTGCAGGGGCGTTGGTAAGTCCAAATGGCATCACCAGGTACTCGTAGTGTCCTGAAGAGGTGTTGAAGGCGGTCTTCCATTCATCCCCCTCACGGATTCGTACCAGGTGATATGCGTTTCGTAAATCCAGCTTGGTAAAGATTGTTGCTCCCTGTAGTAACTCGAATGCTGACGAGATGAGTGGCAGGGGATAACGATTCTTTACCGTGACGTCATTCAGACCCCGATAGTCAATGCAGGGTCTCAGGGTCTTATCCTTCTTCGCCACAAAAAAAAACCCTGCTCCTGCGGGTGACGTGGAAGGACGAATAATTCCCGCAGCCAGAGAGTCATTGACGTACGTCTCCATGGACTTCCTCTCCGGTGCCGAAAGTGAGTACAACCGCCCCTTGGGTGGGACTGCGCCCGGATGTAGCTCAATAGCACAGTCATAGGGCCGATGAGGTGGGAGAGATGTTGCCTTAGTCTTGCTAAAAACCTCCTTAAAGTCCAAATACTCCGCCGGAACCCCTGTGACATCCGGAACCAGGTTAATATCCACAGATAGTTGAGGTGCAGCGGCCTGCTTGAGGCAAACCTGATGACAGGAAGAACTCCACCCTAGGATGGACCCAGTTGACCAGTCAATGTTCGGGTTGTGGCGGCGGAGCCATGGATAACCCAAAATCAGAGGAATCTTGGGGGACCGTAGCACATGAAACTGGATTGTCTCATGGTGGTTCCCCGACATGAGCATATGGACCGGTGTCGTCTGGTGAGTCACCGTTCCCAGCAGGTGACCGTCCAAAGCATTAGCCGGTACCGGCTGGGGCAACTGAATCTGTTGAATGCCCAGCTGTAGTGCGAGCTCCTCATCAATGATGCTGACATCTGATCCGGAGTCGATAAACACAGCCAGAGCCTGAGGTGTGCCTCTCAGGAGAAGTCGAGCATGGCACAAAGGTCTTCCATTGGGGATCAGCTCAGAGGTTCGGCCCACCAGTATACTCCCCATTACTGATGGGCTCTGCCTTTTCCCGGACAACGGGAAACAAAATGTCCAGCCTGACCACAGTAAAGGCATAAATTCCCTCTTCGACGTAACTCCCTCTCCTCAGAGCTAAGACTGGTACGACCCACTTGCATGGGCTCGACCTCCCCGTACCGTGAGTCAGAGTAGGGATGGGAATTCTCCGCCGAAACCGGAAGTTGAAATCTCCCGGAAACCGGAAGTTGTTGTCGCGAGCGGCGGCCCGCCGCTCGTGTCTGTTGCTCTTCTCTTCGTGTCTGAATTCGTCTGTCGATCCGAGAGGTGAGCTCGATCAACCCATCCAAGGAAGCAGGGAGATCATAGGAAACCAGCTCATCTCTCATATAATCCGCTAAGCCTCTCAGATATGCGTCACATTGCGCCGGCTCGTTCCAGCTACTACGGCGGCTGCTGGTGCGGAAGTCAATAGCGTAATTCACCACCGTGCCGGAACCCTGGC